ATTTTCTGACAGTTGATGGACAACTCCTCTCTGACCGTATGGTATTACCGAGTCAGGTAGGTTTCCAGTATAAGCTGGTAATTGACATTTGTCACCTGTGATGAATATTTGACGTATGTTGGGCATATATGTTAGCAATGCCATCAGTTTAACTTCAGCGAGTAGGCCAGCTTCGTCAACCAACAGATAGCGTAGCCAGTAAGGATCGAATTGTTGTTCTCATTGCATCAGGAAGTTGGTTATCATTGGTTCCGTACCTAGAACAATTGTAGGTTTCTTGATCTTTAAGGCTAACATTAGTACTCTGCCCTCCTTGTATTTCCGTCCGTCTCTCTTTGCACGTTGTTCGATGTATCGAGTCGCCAGAGAACACAGTGCTTCTGGAATTTCTTCCTTTTGGTAGAATTTTAGTGTGTTTGCTAATTTATATCGTTGCCATTCTTCTGACGGCTCTCCTGGGTAGAGCTTCTCTGCTACAGCCGACTGGAGCAAAAGCATTTCTCCGACTGGTATCGTGGGTTCGAACTGACATATACGCTTAATTACGTTCTGTACCGCCAAATTTGTTGGGGCGGTTATCACGATAAGTTCCCGATCCTGCAGTGCCCGGATTTTCCTGTATAGTTCACTAACGTAAGCTGCGACAACATAAGTTTTTCCCGTGCCTGCCGGTGCCTGCGCGAACACCATCGTGTTTCCCTTTCTTAATTCCTCCATCACTCTCTGCTGGTTGGGATCTAACTCAAAGTCTACCTCATATCCCTGTGTGGTGGACTCTATTTCCAGTTTTCCTTGTGTTTCCATGCCCCATAACTGTTTTAATATGTATTGTTGATTGACGTTGTCTTGATCCAGTAAACTTCTTGTTAATTTCCTATTTTTTAAAGACAACTCTGTCATCTCAAATCCTGTATTGTCGGGGTTCGGGTAAAAAAGATAATCCTTTCGTAGTTCTTCCATTCAACAGGTCGGGTACCCAATGCTTTGCTAGGCCTGTCTGATCGCTTGTTAGCACACACATAACATGGATGGTTCGATGATTATCGGCGAATATGTCTACTATGGTGGACTTCATACCGCTACGTTGGGAGTAAGGGTCGGTCTCGGCTACTTTCATGCACAAAACAGTATCTGTTGTCCAAAATTTTCTCCTCCTGGAGTAAATATCCTGTGCTCTTGAGTGAGCATCATAGGGTATGCTAAACTTCATCATGGCTTCCCACTTATTGTCCATTGTCATTCTCAGACTCACTTTGATGTCATTTGGACTTGCTATGGTGCTGATGAATCCGGCCTTTACCCTGTTCTGCAAGTACAAAACAGATGTGTGGAGAAGTTGTTCTGCTCTTTCTAGATCTTTTCGCTCT